TCTAGAGCGGGGCGCTCATTTGACCCCCCCCCCCTCAGAACTCGCGAACGGTATGTCGTACGACCACCAAATTTTCAGAGGATGGTGTACTAGTAAAAATTTATCGTATCTACAATTTTTATGTCAATATTACGTAATATGACGTCATTAAAACAAGGCGGGCAAGAAGATTCCTTCATTTTAAAATTTTTAGAATATAAACCTGTTTTGGGGGAAACAAAATTATATCTCAACCAACAGATTTTTTTTTTTATTTCTGTATCCAACAATATTATCTGTCTTTGTACGCATCCTTATCAACCAGAAAAATTTTAGAAAAGAGCTAGTCCCGCCATGATGGGTACACATCTACTACACTGGGTATTCATGCGCGCTGGAACACCTTGGACTATTAACACCTGCCATCAAACGCGAGGAATTATTGTGTCTCGAGTTTGCTAGGTCTCAGAGGACCAAAAACAATACCCCCCCCCATTTGTTATAAAAGTAATAGGCACGTTTTTTCAAAATTTTTCCGTGAATTAACTATACTAATGAGTTATCTCGTACAGTTGTATTCCAACTTTATTGTCGCAGCTTTACGAGAGAATTACAAAAAAGTCTCACCTTTATTTGGGCCATTTTGTTATTGACGTCCAGACGCAGCTACAACTGCAGCATCGGCCATTTCCACAGCACAGATCCAGTAGACCCAGGTAACCAACCTGGCCATTCATTCCACAGGACCCTTTCCTTCAGGGGACCCAGTAGACCCAGGTAACCCAACCTGACGATCAAATCCCAGAGATTTTCCAGTGGACACAAGTAACCCTTTAGCTGCAAATTTTGGAAAAAAAAAGAAGATAGGAACATCATGCAATGTGATAATTACACAAATATGTCGCAAACTTGAGGCGGAATCTCTTAAGTATTACACGTAACAAGGTACAACAATGATTTCCAAGCAGATTCGCTGGGGGTAGGGTACTTTATGTTGGTCGACTGTGTCTATCGTCCGCCCCACAGTGTGCGGATAGAAACCAGGAGGTAGTACACTCCTGCTAGAAAACTTCCCACCTACTTAAAATCGACAGAAATGTGTCAGACTGATTAGATTTGAAAGATTTGAAGCCTTCCGTTCTGCGGCAGGATTCGTGGGGCGGACGATGGATACAGGCGGCCAACATAAAGTTCCCTTGTCCCATCGAATCTGCTGGGAGATTAGTACAACAACACAAAAATTCTGACCTGCACAATACGCCAGGATTACGACAATGGCCACGCCGATCGCAAACGCAATGCCGATGGTTATCCATAGTTTTATGCGAATTGTGCAACATTTTGTCTTGTCCGCCTCATCACGTCCATCTGTTTGTTTGTCTGTAGGAACAATATTCACCTCTTAGATCCCTTCACACTAACCCCCTCTTCACAAATATATCAAAGCGATATTATGTAAGATTTTTTTTGCACCAAAACTGTAAATATGACTGAAATTTTCTTATCTAGATATGTCGTTTTCAATAACGTTCAACAAATTAGCGTCACCATTTCGCTTTTACGACGACGACTCGATGCAGCACGAGAATAAGTTGTGCCAGGCGCGCTGTATTTTTTAAAAGGCTTTTAAGAGGCTTTTAAAAGGAATGTAAACAAACAACATGGCCGCGATCCACGGCAGCGCCCAGGAGTTGGCAGTTTTTCAACACGTTTTGGGGACAAAACGACGTTGATCTTTAACATCCCAAATGTCAGTATGAATCCAGGTAGCTTTATAGCACTAGAAAATGTAGTAAAACAACGATGTTTAATGTTTTATTTTTAAGCCTCAAGTTACGTAAATAATGGATATGTAGGGACGTATTTTCTGTAGTATCAACCGGAACGCTGAGATAGGGTTTGTTATGTGCGCTCAGCCTCTTGCTATTTATATTAATTTGGGGGTAACTGTTCTTTTTTAAGCTGAAGTTATTTTAATAGTGAATATGTAAGGGTTGATTATGTCATAAGCATCGTGACTATGTTGGAAAATACCCGTACTCGTGTAACTTGTGTTTCTGTACACATCATTTGGTTTGCATACTAGTAAAGTAAAAGTCGAAATATATACAGCAGCACATTTCTCATAACTCAAGCCCATGCATGACGAAGGTATATGAAGTCATCGACCTCTTGTTCTGTCTGGGACTATAGATCTGCGTCTGATCGGGAACTAGTGAGAAAAACGTCAAAAGATGCAAAACCGAACTGGCAAGCTCATTCTTACATACGTCCCCCAGATCTAACTCCATCGCTGAAATTCTGGAATGTCTGGAATAAAAACATGTTAAGTCCTCACACAAGCTCCAAAAAGCCCTACTGGCACACAAGGCCTTAAACAACCG